GAGGCTCACCAGCAGCTGCAGCCACTGCCCTCCCCTTTGCTCTTCACTGTTTTCTCACTGCCATGAACAGCTGCTCTCTGTCATGTGCCCCTCTGCCTTGGAGCCAGCTGAGCATGGACTGAAACCTCCACTAACACTGAGCTAAATACAGCTTTCCTTCCTTCATTTTGGGTGTCAGGTGTTTTGTCCCAGCAACAAGAGAAAAGTCACTGAGACAACACCCAATAACTCATGTAGCATTTACTACAACTCTGCAGCAGAGCAGGTCTTATTGTTGCCTTCAGACATGGAAGTCGATAGTACATACAAATTTGCTTAAGCTTTCCACACCAGCAAGTGTCAGAACCAGGATTTGAAACCAGGCCATCAGTCCCCAATTCTGACTGTGTGATTTCACTACACTATGGAGCCCAGCCGATAAGGACTGGAGCTGAACCAAAGAGCCCCCAAGGGGAAAAATATGATGGCTGTCACCCAGGACATGCCTATTTCTAGGGGCCAAAGGGGGGGCAGTACAGGAAGAGGAGACGCACAGCGATGGAGTGAGAAGTAGGGAGAGAGCGTCTGACGGTAGAAGCCAGCAGGGAAGCAGGGTAGGAGCCTGTGCGATGCAGGAGCAGCGAGGTTCTCAGGTCCGACCCGGACTTTCCTTTTAAAGATGTTTTTATTATAACTTTAAAAGAAAAGAGGGCCAACGGCCTGCAGGCCGAGGGCTGAACACGCCTGACCCCGAGGGTCTGCACTGAGACCGCACTCCTGGGCACGCTGCGGCTTTGCCTCTCCGCGTGCACCCTTGCCTCCTGCCCTTCGGCTCCAGGTCCCGACAAGATTACAGCAATCTCCTCGCAGGTGAGGTCCGCGTCTCCTTTCCCTTCTTGTCTCCACGCCGCCTGCCCCCGCTCCCCCCACAGACTGATAGGCAGCGCGACAGCTGTCTGTGTGCCGATGATTAATCGTGCCGAGAATTCTTCCAGCGGCAAAGTCTCATGCCAGAAACACATTTGTTTCAAACATGTGCTTCGGTGTGAACGGGCTGCCTAAGTGGTGCCATCTGTTCTCCAGCCGTTTCAGAAACGTTTGAATGTGATTTTACCTTTCAAAGGACAAGCGACAGGGCGTGGCCGTGAGAACCTGCAGACATCCTTAGCTAACCCCGGAGCAGACACCAACACATGCAGTCACACTGAAATAGCTCCCCATAAAGCGTCTCTGCTGAGGTTTACGAAATTTTTATCTACGAGGACACCAACCACTACTTCATGCCGAAACTATTTATGAGACATTGCAGAACTGCAGGCACGGACTCCCATATTACTGCACTTTAATTACAGACTCCAGAAATGCAATTTAATTTTTTTTTGTAAATCTCATATTCCTCTGAAATGGGTTCGTGCTTCCAATGCTTGTTAATGGTCCACATTTGATTGCAGTTTCGGCATATCGGTTTCGAAGCGAAGGCAGCTGTTGAGAATCATCTCTGCGTTATTCATGTATATCGATTGTTAATTTGACTTTCGTTACAGTGCTGTAGGATTTATTGTTATGTGAATAGAACAACGAAATGAAACCCATGTTTAAGTTCTGCAAATAACTTACAGTTGCTTCCAAAACACCTCAACTTAGGTTCTAAATTTGAGTTTGCGGTTTGACATGCAGTTATTTGCTGATCTACTTTCGTGTGCAAAATCACACACTGGCTATGTTGGGGCACAGCTCTTGTGGCAACAAGGAATGGTTCAAATTTGCAGCGTACTTAGCCTGCTGGCTACGTCGACATCACCAACACTGCCAGCACATTGACATCTGTGTGTTTTGCTTGTTGGTATAAATCAACCATTGTGTGTATCAAGTATGTACATGTACACAAGGAATTTCTGGTTGCAGCAGCGTCCATGTAACATTGGCCCACCTGATAGCTGTGCTTCCATGCTGACATTCACTGTCCAAATCCCATTTTGCAAAGATGGACGTCTGGACATACATGAACATTCATTTGAAATATTCTTTCTTTATTGTTTGAGAGGGTGATCCTGCTAACATCACTCATGTACTGAGTCAGATTCTTCTCTTTCTTGTGGAAGATAGAAAACTCTCGAATGTACAAAGAATGATGTGTGACCAGCATATAATGTGTTCGCAACCCAGAATTTCCTTCTAGTAGTTTGTAAGCAAAATGAAAAGCATGCTGCAGGTAAACTGGAAGTCCCTTGTTGGCCTCTCACTCCATTCATCAGAAGGCAGCCACCGCTGTTAATCACCGTGTTGTTCTGTTCCGTATCTCAGTGCACTTACATTCCAGTTCCATGAACAACAGTATCACTTGTGTGATTATAGAAACTCTGTCATGCAGTCCACATCTTCCTTCAGCTTGCTGTTTTTCCTTCAGCATTCTGTTCTAAAAATGTGTTCATTTTCCCCAAAGCTTTTCATTTTAACTTCTCTGTAGTTCCAATCCCCGTTTATTATCCTTTTCCCCAAGATTCCCATGTCCATTGTATATTTCACATGAGTTTTTTGCTGCTCTGGGTAGTGTTGCGGTGAGTGGCCTCTGACGTGTTTCCTGGCATGCTTGCCCAAGACTTCTCTCTAGGAAGCAGCCCCAGATGCCCAACGTGAGATACTGGGTCACAGATTTCAGGCAGTTGCAGCATTCCCATATATTGCCAGAGTCTCTCTTTCCCCCAAAATAAGACCCAGCTGGAAAACCATCAGCCTTGAAAGCTGGCGCTCAGGAATGGCAGCCCCATCAGCCTAGCCTTGCCCCACCAGCCATCCGTGCTCCCTGCTCGGTGTCCACAGAGGAAGGGAGCAGAGACAAGAACAGCCTGATGGGGCTGGCGGTTTTGAGCTCTAGCTTTCAGGGCTGGTTATTTTGCAGCAAGGTCTTATTTTTTGGAAAACACAGTTGCTCTCAAAAGAATGTTGCTTACTTATATTCTCATTAGCAGGATATACAAATCCATCTCCTTACCTTCTCACATGATTAGACTTTACTTTTTTTCAATGCTTACTGTCTGATGGGTGTGAAATAGTTTATCCTTATAGTTCTAAGTTGCACAGTTGTTATTTATAGTTTCAATCATTCATTTATTGATTCTGGATTTCTTTATTGGCTCCCTATTCTTACTCTTTGCCTTTGCCTATTTTTTTTCTGAGTTGTCTTTTTTGTAGGCATTCTTTACTTCAAATACTCTTTTTTTTTTTTTCTGTTCAAATACCTCCTCTCAGGCTGGGAAGATGGCTCAATAGAATAAGCATTTGCCTGGCAAGCGCAGGGTCCTGAGTTGAATCCCCAGTACCACAAGAAAAAAATAAAAATAAAAAAGCAAATACCTCTTCTCAGTTCTTTAAGTTTAAGGCATGTCTTCTCATATACAAATCTTGATGTTTGAAGTTATCTGGTCACAGTCAATTCATTCTTATTTTGTGTTGTGATATGTGTTATCTTGTAATGTATTGCCCTGGGGTTATTAATATGCTTCCATATGTTCTTATATTAGTGTTAAAGTTGTATTGTTTTTCATGTGAGGCTTAGATTCATTCTTGAACTTATTCAAGTGTACAATATGAAGTCAATCTGAAAAAAAAAAATTTTTGAGAGAAGAGGCTAGTTGCCCCAGCACCTTTTGTTAATCAGTCTGTTAATCAGCCTGTCAGTCAGTCTGCCCTCTCTCCACTCTGCTGCAGTGTCCGTGCTGTCCTGTGTAGACTTCCTCAGGAGCACCATGTGTTTCATGGGCCTGGCTCTAGCCCACTGCACCACTGCCACATGTTTTAATCATCACAGCTTTATGGTATAACTTAACATATGAAAGAACAATTTTGACTTCCACCTCTCAAAATTAACTTTTCTCTTATGCGAGGATTTTCTCTCCCATTGTTTTTAGAATCAGTTTTTCTTGTTCTGTAAGTGAAACCAGCAGCATTTTAATTTCAGTTGCATTAAATGTAGAGACACATAGGCGTAAACAGAAAACTTCAGCTTTCCCAGCCACGCGCCATCTGAGGGGCACCGCCCATCATGTGTTCAAGCTTTCTTCCGGTGTACGTCAGTGTTGTTCTGTTACTTCTCCGTAGACTGCTTGTCTTTAATGTGCAGAGCCCCTTGTGAGCTCGTTGTTGCCATTATGAATAATACTGTGTTTTCTGATGAATTATTGTCATTAGAACTTAATCCATTTCACATAATGATCTCACATCCAGGAACCCTAGTAAGCTTTTCGGCTTTTATCACTCTATAGAAGCTCTTGCATTTTCGAGGGAGAACACTGTATTTTCTGCACACAATGATGCTTTACTCTCCCCAGCATTCTGCCCTCTCAGTCTTCTTGTTCATGCTGCTTCTCAGCTCAGTGCCGAGCAGCAGCAGCAGTGCTGGGTGTCCTTCTCCGTGAGTCCCGCCCACGGCCGTGTAGATGAGCTCCTTCTTGTGCACATTCTCCCGCCATCCCGTGAGGCATTGTGGGTACACTGGCTGAAGAGCAAAAGGAAGGCCTCAGTCTTTCCTCCATTAGAACTCTTCCTTCACTTGCTGAGTCTCCCCATCCACACTGGCTGTCAGCCATCCATGGGGGACACATGGAAAGAGCCACTTTAACGGTCTCAGCCACGAGTGTTTTTGCTCCATGTGACAACAGTGGCCTCATGGGAAATGTGTTACTATTAGGAATATAAATCTAAATCTTCTAATGGTCTTCAAAGCTTCTTGCTTTTCTGTGCTGGGGAGATAGCTTAGCCATCCAAGCATCTGCCTGGCAAGCTCAAGGACTGGAGTTCGATCCCCGGTACTGCATGTTGTACCAGCCCAGAACCCCAGGCACACCATGTTGGCCACTGAAACTAGGTGTGGTGGCATACACCTATAATCCCAGCACTGGAGAGGGTAAGACGGGAAGATCACTATGAGTATGAGCTGTGTACCAAATAGATAGATAAATGATTTTAAAATATTTTTTTAAGTTCTTACTACTGACCTTTGTGTTGTCATTTCTATTTTATAGACACCTATGAACCAAGCTTCCACCCGCTCCCACTGCATCTTCACTGTTCATTTATCAAGCAAGGAGCCCGGATCTACAACCATCCGACACGCCAAGCTCCACCTGGTGGACCTGGCCGGCTCCGAGCGAGTGGCCAAGAGTGGAGTCGGGGGCCAGCTTCTAACAGAGGCCAAGTACATCAACTTGTCGCTACATTACTTAGAACAGGTAACATGGGCAGAGCGGGATGTGGCCGTGGCCACATGGGCAGGTGGGACATGGCCGTGGCCACATGGGCAGAGCGGGACATGGCCGTGGCCGCATGGGCAGAGCGGGACGTGGCCGTGGCCGCATGGGCAGAGCG